CTGTGGACACCCAAGGGCCCCAGAGACTGCAGAGATCCTCCAGATCCTGCAGAGCAGATCCTGCAGAGCAGGGACCCAGGCAGAGACTCCAGATCCTCAGAGCCAAGATGCCAAACGTCACCTAAGGAATGCATAAAGATAGCAGGGACCCAGAACCTGCAGGGACTCCAGATCCTCAGAGCCAAGATGCCAAACGTCACCTAAGGAATGCATAAAGATAGGAAGAAAGAATGCAGCAAGTGACACTGGGCCCCAGAGACTCCAGATCCTCCAGATCCTGCAGAGCAGATCCTGCAGAGCATGGACCCAGGCAGAGACTCCAGATCCTCAGAGCCAAGATGCCAAACGTCACCTAAGGAATGCATAAAGATAGCAGGGACCCAGAACCTGCAGAGACTCCAGATCCTCAGAGCCAAGATGCCAAACGTCACCCAAGGAAAGCATAAAGATAGGAAGAAAGAGTGCAGCGAGTGAGACAGAGCAGGGACCCAGAACCTGCAGAGACTCCAGATCCTCAGGGCCAAGATGCCAAACGTCACCTAAGGAATGCATAAAGATAGGAAGAAAGAGTGCAGCAAGTGACACTGTGGACCCCCAAGGGCCCCAGAGACTGCAGAGATCCTCCAGATCCTGCAGAGCAGATCCTGCAGAGCAGGGACCCAGGCAGAGACTCCAGATCCTCAGAGCCAAGATGCCAAACGTCACCTAAGGAATGCATAAAGATAGGAAGAAAGAATGCAGCAAGTGACACTGGGCCCCAGAGACTCCAGATCCACCAGATCCTGCAGAGCAGATCCTGCAGAGCAGGGACCCAGGCAGAGACTCCAGATCCTCAGAGCCAAGATGCCAAACGTCACCTAAGGAATGCATAAAGATAGCAGGGACCCAGAACCTGCAGAGACTCCAGATCCTCAGAGCCAAGATGCCAAACGTCACCCAAGGAAAGCATAAAGATAGGAAGAAAGAGTGCAGCCAGTGAGACAGAGCAGGGACCCAGAACCTGCAGAGACTCCAGATCCTCAGAGCCAAGATGCCAAACGTCACCTAAGGAATGCATAAAGATAGGAAGAAAGGACCCCCAAGGGCCCCAGAGACTGCAGAGATCCTCCAGATCCTGCAGAGCAGATCCTGCAGAGCAGGGACCCAGGCAGAGACTCCAGATCCTCAGAGCCAAGATGCCAAACGTCACCTAAGGAATGCATAAAGATAGCAGGGACCCAGAACCTGCAGAGACTCCAGATCCTCAGAGCCAAGATGCCAAACGTCACCTAAGGAATGCGTAAAGATAGGAAGAAAGAGTGCAGCAAGTGACACTGGGCCCCAGAGACTCCAGATCCCCCAGATCCTGCAGAGCAGGGACCCAGAACCTGCAGAGACCCCAGATCCTTGCAGCAAGTGACACTGTGGACCCCCAAGGGCCCCAGAGACTGCCCTAAGGAATGCATAAAGATAGGAAGAAAGAGTGCAGCAAGTGACACTGGGCCCCAGAGACTCCAGATCCTCCAGATCCTGCGGAGCAGGGACCCAGAACCTGCAGAGACCCCAGATCCTTGCAGCAAGTGACACTGTGGACCCCCAAGGGCCCCAGAGACTGACCTAAGGAATGCAGAAAGATAGCAGGGACCCAGAACCTGCAGAGACTCCAGATCCTCAGAGCCAAGATGCCAAACGTCACCAAAGGAATGCATAAAAATAGGAAGAAAGAGTGCAGCAAGTGACACTGGGCCCCAGAGACTCCAGATCCTCCAGATCCTGCAGAGCAGGGACCCAGACAGAGACTCCAGATCCCCAGAGCCAAGATGCCAAACGTCACCTAAGGAATGCATAAAGATAGCAGGGACCCAGAACCTGCAGAGACTCCAGATCCTCAGAGCCAAGATGCCAAACGTCACCAAAGGAATGCATAAAGAGATAGGAAGAAAGAGTGCAGCAAGTGACACTGGGCCCCAGAGACTCCAGATCCTCCAGATCCTGCAGAGCAGGGACCCAGAACCTGCAGAGACCCCAGATCCTTGCAGCAAGCGACACTGTGGACCCCCAAGGGCCCCAGAGACTGCCCTAAGGAATGCATAAAGATAGCAGGGACCCAGAACCTGCAGAGACTCCAGATCTTCAGAGCCAAGATGCCAAAAGTCACCTAAGGAATGCATAAAGATAGGAAGAAAGAGTGCAGCAAGTGACACTGTGGACCCCCAAGGGCCCCAGATCCTCCAGATCCTGCAGAGCAGGGACCCAGGCAGAGACTCCAGATCCTCAGAGCCAAGATGCCAAACGTCACCTAAGGAATGCATAAAGATAGCAGGGACCCAGAACCTGCAGAGACTCCAGATCCTCAGAGCCAAGATGCCAAACGTCCCCCAAGGAAAGCATAAAGATAGGAAGAAAGAGTGCAGCGAGTGAGACAGAGCAGGGACCCAGAACCTGCAGAGACTCCAGATCCTCAGAGCCAAGATGCCAAACGTCACCTAAGGAATGCATAAGGATAGGAAGAAAGAGTGCAGCAAGTGACACTGTGGACCCCCAAGGGCCCCAGAGACTGCAGAGATCCTCCAGATCCTGCAGAGCAGATCCTGCAGAGCAGGGACCCAGGCAGAGACTCCAGATCCTCAGAGCCAAGATGCCAAACGTCACCTAAGGAATGCATAAAGATAGCAGGGACCCAGAACCTGCAGAGACTCCAGATCCTCAGCGCCAAGATGCCAAACGTCACCTAAGGAATGCATAAAGATAGGAAGAAAGAATGCAGCAAGTGACACTGGGCCCCAGAGACTCCAGATCCTCCAGATCCTGCAGAGCAGATCCTGCAGAGCAGGGACCCAGGCAGAGACTCCAGATCCTCAGAGCCAAGATGCCAAACGTCACCTAAGGAATGCATAAAGATAGCAGGGACCCAGAACCTGCAGAGACTCCAGATCCTCAGAGCCAAGATGCCAAACGTCACCCAAGGAAAGCATAAAGATAGGAAGAAAGAGTGCAGCGAGTGAGACTGGGGGCCCCCAAGGGCCCCAGAGACTCCAGATCCTCCAGATCCTGCAGAGCAGGGACCCAGGCAGAGACTCCAGATCCTCAGAGCCAAGATGCCAAACGTCACCTAAGGAATGCAGTATATTTTAAAGATAGCAGGGACCCAGAACCTGCAGGAGACTCCAGATCCTCAGAGCCAAGATGCCAAACGTCACCTAAGGAATGCATAAAGAGATAGGAAGAAAGAGTGCAGCAAGTGACACTGGGCCCCAGAGACTCCAGATCCTCCAGATCCTGCAGAGCAGGGACCCAGAACCTGCAGAGACCCCAGATCCTTGCAGCAAGGGACACTGTGGACCCCCAAGGGCCCCAGAGACTGCCCTAAGGAATGCATAAAGATAGGAAGAAAGAGTGCAGCAAGTGACACTGGGCCCCAGAGACTCCAGATCCTCCAGATCCTGCAGAGCAGGGACCCAGAACCTGCAGAGACCCCAGACCCTTGCAGCAAGTGACACTGTGGACCCCCAAGGGCCCCAGAGACTGACCTAAGGAATGCAGAAAGATAGCAGGGACCCAGAACCTGCAGAGACTCCAGATCCTCAGAGCCAAGATGCCAAACGTCACCAAAGGAACGCATAAAGATAGGAAGAAAGAGTGCAGCAAGTGACACTGGGCCCCAGAGACTCCAGATCCTCCAGATCCTGCAGAGCAGGGACCCAGACAGAGACTCCAGATCCTCAGAGCCAAGATGCCAAACGTCACCTAAGGAATGCATAAAGATAGCAGGGACCCAGAACCTGCAGAGACTCCAGATCCTCAGAGCCAAGATGCCAAACGTCACCTAAGGAATGCATAAAGATAGGAAGAAAGAGTGCAGCAAGTGACACTGGGCCCCAGAGACTCCAGATCCTCCAGATCCTGCAGGGACCCAGAACCTGCAGAGACCCCAGATCCTTGCAGCAAGTGACACTGTGGACACCCAAGGGCCCCAGAGACTGCCCTAAGGAATGCAGAAAGATAGCAGGGACCCAGAACCTGCAGAGACTCCAGATCTTCAGAGCCAAGATGCCAAACGTCACCTAAGGAAAGCAGAAAGATAGGAAGAAAGAGTGCAGCGAGTGAGACTGTGGGCCCCCAAGGGCCCCAGAGACTCCAGATCCTCCAGATCCTGCAGAGCAGGGACCCAGGCAGAGACTCCAGATCCTCAGAGCCAAGATGCCAAACGTCACCTAAGGAATGCATAAAGATAGCAGGGACCCAGAACCTGCAGAGACTCCAGATCCTCAGAGCCAAGATGCCAAACGTCACCCAAGGAAAGCATAAAGATAGGAAGAAAGAGTGCAGCCAGTGAGACAGAGCAGGGACCCAGAACCTGCAGAGACTCCAGATCCTCAGAGCCAAGATGCCAAACGTCACCTAAGGAATGCATAAAGATAGGAAGAAAGGACCCCCAAGGGCCCCAGAGACTGCAGAGATCCTCCAGATCCTG